GATGGGAGTGATTGTTTGTTCGCAGCATTATCTTCTGTGGTTTGAGGGACTTCGTAGAAAGCTGGTTTTATTCGGTCTATAGAAATTGTCTCATGGTTCCCATTTTTGTTGATAATGAAATATTTGTCAGTGCGTTTTATTACTTTATAAGGGCCTTCATATGGTGGTGTCAGTGGCTTTTTTACCGCGTCTACTCGAACAAAAACAAATTTGCACGTTTCTAAATGTTTATCAAGATGGACTCGGTTGTCATATTCTCGAGGTGGTATTGCTCTGATGCTCTGCATCATTTGTAGTAATCTGCTTACAAAGCGAGAAGGGTCTCCTGGTGTTGTGGGTTCATTCTTGACCAGTTGTCCTGGTAACGTTAATGTCGTGCCATAGACTAATTCAGCGGCCGTGCATCCGATGTCTTCCTTCACTGACGAGCGAATCCCAAGGAGAACGAGCGGTAAAGCATCGCTCCATTTTGAAGGGTCCGGTTGTGCCATCAGAGAGCTTTTTAGTTGGCGATGGAATCTTTCAACCATGCCATTAGCTGCCGGATGATAAGCTGTCGTTTTAACATGATTTACTCCAAGAAGTTTAGTGAACTCGTTAAATAGGACGGATTGGAATTGGGGACCGCGATCTGTTGTGATTGTTGATGGTACGCCAAAGTTGGATATCCAGCGGTCGAGGAAAACTGAAGCCACTGTCTCTGCCGATGTGTCTTTAATGGGGCATGCTATGGCCCATCTTGTGAACCTATCTATTGCGGTGAGGATATGTGTGAAAGAGTTTGATGGTGGCAGAGGCCCAACTAAATCTAAATGCACGTGCTGGAAGCGTTTGTCAGGGATAGGGAACTTCCCAATCGGACTGTAGGTGTGTTTTTGCGTCTTACTGCGTTGGCACTGGAGACAGTTACGTGTCCAACGTTTAACATCCGAGTTAATTTTAGGCCACACAAAACGTTCGGTAATGAGCTTTGCTGTTGCTCTGATGCCTGGATGTGAAAGACCATGTAAATGCTGAAATATTTTTCGTCGGCAAGCGTGTGGGACAAACGGACGATTGTTGCCTGTTGAAGTGTCGCACATGATAAACGTATCTGAAAGAGGAATCGGTACAGGTTTGAGATCTAAGCTAGACTTTTCTTTGCAGGCTTTCAATTCTGCATCGTCTGCTTGTAATTTAGCTAAGGTTTCAAGGCTGATGTCATGATTGAGTACCATCGTATTGATATCCCTCCTAGATAGTGCATCTGCAACAATGTTCATGTGACCTTTGATAAACCTGATGTCTGTGGTAAATTGGGAGATATAATCAAGTTGTCTTGCTTCTCGTGGGGAGTGTTTGTCATACGATGTGCTAAAAGAATGGCAAAGAGGTTTGTGATCTGTCATAATGATGAAATCACGACCCTGTAGCAAAAAGTTGAAATGTTTTACTGCTAAATACATAGCTAAGAGTTCGCGTCCAAAAGTACTATAACGTTCTTGTGCTGGCGATAATCTCTTGGAGAAAAAGGCAATGGGGGTAATAGTGTTGTTTACCCGCTGTTGTAATACTGCCCCGACGGCTTTTTGTGAAGCATCCGTGCATAGGATCAACAGTGTTGTGGGGTCAGTATTTAGGTGTTGGAGCATGGTAGCATTAGCAATCATGGATTTAGCTTTTTCAAATGCTATTTTGGCATCGGAAGGTAACTTGAATATTTTGTTCTTTTCTTTCTTGGTACCAGATTTATCGTTTTTTAGTAAATCTGTCAATGGCTGAAGTACATCGGCACAATTTGGTAGAAATCGTCGATAAAAATTACATGTTCCGAGAAAACGACGTAGTGATTTTACTGAGGTTGGTTCTGGATAGCTGGAGATAGCTTTGACTTTCTCTTCAAGCGGTTTAATTCCTTGGGAATCAATGTGGTGTCCCAGGAATTCCAGAGATGAGGCGCCAAATATACACTTCGAAGGGTTGATTACAACACCATAACTTTTGAAACGTTCAAAAAGTGTGTGCAGGTGCTGAACATGTTCGTCGATGGAAGAACTAGCGATTAAAACATCGTCGATATAGACAAATACGAAATCCAAACCTCTAGTTACTTCGTCCATAAATCTCTGGAAGGTTTGAGCGGCGTTTTTTAGTCCGAAAGGCATCCTCAAGAACTCAAACAAGCCAAAAGGTGTGATTACGGCTGTTTTCTCGATATCCTCAGGTGCCATCGGTATTTGATGGTATGCTCGGACTAGATCTAACTTTGAAAAAATCTGTTTTCCATGTAGATTTAAAGAAAAATCATGCAGGTGAGGTATCGGATACCGGTCTGGGATAGTCTGGTTATTCAAACGGCGATAATCTCCACATGGGCGCCAGTCTTGATCTTTCTTGGGAACCATATGCAGCGGCGAGGCCCAAGGACTGTTAGATTGTCTGATTATCCCAAGTTGCATCATATGTTCGAATTCTCTCTTAGCGAACTGCAACTTGTTTGGAGGGAGTCTTCTCGCCCTGGCGCGGATAGGTGGTCCTGTAGTAGTAATACTGTGTTGGACATGATGTGTGGAGCATTCGTTTTGGTAATCAGCTCTGGTTATACTTTCATACTTCGACAGGATATCGGTGAAAATTTTGTTTTCAGGTCTTAACATACGGACTCCATGAATTTCGTAACTGGAGATAGTTGTGCCACTGACCTGTAAGCATGTGTTTTTGTCGATTAGTTTCTTTTTTGCCATATCTACAAGTAGGTTGTAAGCACCGAGAAAATCGGCCCCGATAATGGGTTGTTTGATTTCAGCTACGATGAAAACCCATGTGAAACGTCTCCGGAGACCGAGATCTAAAATAAGTGATTGTTCGCCATAAGTCTTAATGACTGTGTTATTGGCTGCGACTAGAGACAATTTAGTACTCTGAGGGTGCCGTCGTTGAGAGAGGTGTAATGGGATAATGCTGATTTCGGCTCCCGTATCGACCAAAAAATCTGAGCCCGAAATTCGATCCCTGACATGAAATAGACGGCTCGGGTAGTGGCCAGAAACAGGCGCCGCCATCACTGTCTGGCCGGGCCGTTTCCCTGATTCTCTGTGTCGGACGCAGAAAATGTGCACGGTCGTGTACAACGCCGTGCTTTGGTGCCGTATTTTTGGTGGTACCAACAAACATCAGATGTTCGCTTCGGTGACCTAGACCGTTGTCTAGAAAAAGATCTTCGTCTGGAGGGGGATCTCGTTTGTCTAGCTTGGATGGTTGCTATGGTTGATTGCAGAGACGCTAGCTGGCTCGTTAAATGCGTTAACTGCTTTTGAAAGGAGACTAAACAGCTAATATTTAGTGGTCCAGGTGGTTGCAATGAGTTCACACCGTGACTATCATGGTAGACTTCCATCATTTTATCCGCCATGTCGGCTAAGTCATCAAGTGCGACGGATTTCTCTGAAACACTGAGAATTTGTCTAACGCTGTGTGGTAATCTTTGAAACCACATTTGCTTTAGGAGGGCTTCGTCTAGCTTGTATGGACCGGCGAGTTGTTTCATGTGACGGAGAAGTTGAGAGGGTCTTTTATCTCCCAAGTCACAAGATGTTAACAATTGTTGCAGCCTTTTCTCATCTGAGACCGTGGTGCGTTGAATAACTGCTGCTTTTATCTTATCGTATGGTTCAGATTCTGGCACGTGATCGATTAGATCTCCAACTTCAGTGGCGATCTCAACAGGAAGTGCACCGACTACGTATGCATACTTTGATGCCTGAGATTTTATGCCTCTAGCCATGAATAAAGCTTCAATTTGAGCAAACCAGATTCTTGGATTATTAATACAATACGTTGGTAATCTTAACTCTGAGATAGCGTTGATCGAGTTTAAAGCGTTATCCTCTGGTTGTGGAGAGTTTAGAAAGTTGGTCGGTGAACTATCGATATCAATAAGTTTACCCGGAGAGTTCATAATGACAAAAAACAAAATGGTGTCGTGCCAGGTAATAATAATAAATAAAAAAATTGCAGATATATAAGGTAAATGTCTATAAAAAAACGAGGCTCACCAAATAATTGTGGTGGACCAAAAAGTATAATAACCAAAAATCAGTGATAAAGTTATTACGTCCAAAATTAATGTAACAACAATAATTTATAAATTAACAACACAAATTAAAAGTTCAGGGACGTTACTTAAATCGGCTAGTGGCTGCGTATTCTGTTGAGTTTCGGTCCCATAAATCCACAATTATAAATGTGTAATAATTCCACGGAGGTAAATATGACGCCAATAAGTTTCTTTGACGTAGGATATAATGCAAATGACACAGCAGTCTAAAATGAGGATAATATCCAGTTTACAACACAATTGACTCGGTAACGAGCGAGAATAGAACAATGGGTATGCGCGTAGTAGTGTATTTGCGAACCACCGAAAGTACGTCACGCTATGTTAGTAACACAACGGAAAAAGTCTTCAAGGTCATTTACTTAAACAACAGGTACAATCATTTAATGATAAATGTACATTCAGTGAGAAATTGACAAATACAAATAATATTAAAAACTATTTACAAAATAAGCTTGTCAGATCTATCTCCACAAAGCTACCCATGCAATTCCAGAACTCTGGGGTTTACCATAGAAAGAGCAGCTTGAAAAGCTAGAATTAATTACTCTGTCATAACGAAGATTAAGAGGTGATCTTGATTTTGATGTATAGAACACTAAGAAATCATTTGGACCAAATATTTCTTCTCTGTTTCTCCATGCCATGTCAAAACATCTCAAAGGACATAGCAGGCGAGTAGAAAAACCATGAACAAACAAAATACATGTGGCATACAGGTTTTCACACTGTCATCAATTTTTGGATCCTGTTACCCGGAGCAAATGTATCCCCACCTCCAGCTGATTCACTGAAGAGAAGACTAGACACTCACAGAAGCATACTAGAAAGGGAATAACATATGCCGTAGGCCTTCTGACCTTAATACACAAATCTGTATCTGAATGCTTACCTGCATGCCCTTGAGAGGTCGCGCGGTGTATTTGATGGTGTCTTAATAATGCAAAGCTTGCAAAATGCACCTCAGATTCATTCAACTGCCGGTGCAGTACCTATTAAAAATGAAAAAGGTTTGGTAGAATCACATTACTGACTTTTAGGCCAATTTTATATGGTAAAGGTTAAGGTCCAGCGCTATGTTGCCGGAAAGAAACCTGATTTTGCTTCAAGCTCTAGTTCTGAATCAGAAGAGGAGCCAACTGTCAATGATACCGAAGAAATCAAGGCTTTTTCATCGCGGTCCGGATTAATCAGAGATCGTTTCAGAGGGCAGGAGAACTCCAAGTCGACGGCAGACGGATCTGATCAACCAACAGCTGAAGAGTTAGCTGACCCTAGATTCAGGAGATTGTTAAGGGCCAAGGTAAGGGATGGTGCTTATAAATAGAATTTGTTCGCTTAATGTCCTTTAATGGATCGGACCACTCAGTAGGCATAAATGTGATATGTGTTTAACAATGTAGATATCTATCTACATAAATACATGTTTAGGATGGTTGAGTTCTCTTCATACATGCACTTTTGCTGCACTTCGGTTTATAAGGCTGAATTGTACTCATTGCCCTCTGTGGTTTGCGTATTTACTAACGTTTAATGTCACGTTCCAAAGCAAAAACAAGTCGTGTTGTTTATTTTCCAAATTTTCTAATGATTATATGTGAATAATATTAGACACTTCACCAATTTAGACTCCAGAAATCAACCGTGCTACAGAATCGTTGTTTGATATTCAGAAAACTCCTAATTTTTGATAATTGTAATTGTGGTTGGAGGCTTTAAGTACTTTGAATTTACGAACGAGAATGAGGATGAACATTGTGCTTAGTTGAAAGAAGTGTAAATGAAGTTCTAAATCTATCCATCTACCGAGCACCAACACACTCAAATCTTTATATTCTCTTCAATTCAGCACATCCATTAAGTGCAAAGACCTTGCTGGCCCTAAGTCTTTTTAGAAGAGCGAACAAGATTATCACATAGGAAGAGGATAAACAAAAAAGAATGTAATTAATATACTACAATTTAATAATTTTCCCACGAAGATTATCAGAAGTGTATTAAAATTAGACGTTCCACTGCTAAATAATAACTCGAATGAAATACCGTGGATTGGTACTGCAGTTTTACCATTACCGCCATGGTACAACAGAAAAACTAAAAAAAATTAAAACAGAATTAAAGTATATTACAAAATAACGAAAACACTTCGAAATACTTTAGCTCACTTAAAAGAAAAACTCCCGTGTATGTCAACACATAACTGTGTCTACAAATTTGCATGTGTCGATTGTGATGACTTCTATATTGGAGAGTCATTTCGGGAAATCTTGACTCGAGCCAAAGAACACAAAGGAACCACTTAATAATCCCGTAGAACTGCATAGACTTCAAATTAAATTGGCGATAGCAGTTCATTCCATCTTCACTAATCACCAAATCGATTTCAAAAACATAAAAGTATTATAAAAAGTTTTTTCAACTACAAAGAAAGGAGAGTAGCTGAAGTTTTTCATATGATGCTTGATCCTACTGCTCTCAATAGAAAAGAAGGCCTAACTATACATCCGACTTGGACTGTCTATCCGAGCTACCATACCTGATGTTATTCACATATCATACTGTTGTCGTACATACAAATTAAACTATCTTTTTGATCTGGTTATTTATTCTCTAAAGAAGTGGCTTACACTGAGTCACGAAAAGTCAGAAAGTCTACTCTTCTACTCATTGGGATATTACAAATATATTATTTTACTTACATTGAATAAACGTTTTTATATTGACTAACAACCCTATAATTTCGGAACACCTTTTCTGAAATTGAGCTTACTACTGAGCAGTAAGTACTAGAATTTTACGTTATTAAATGTACTATGGATATGCCATCTACATCAACTTATTATATGGTTTTCCGATAAGGTTTTTGTCAATTTCTTCTTTAGGACCAGCTGAGCCAAAGCAGCGAGGATGAAGAAGAAACTGATAGGGTTACTCGTCACAAAAAATACCGAAAATCTGGTCATTATAGTGAGGAAAGTCCTCAAAATTCTAATGGAGAGGATGCTGACGAAGAGGACGTTGATGAAGCAGAACTAATGAGGAGGCGTGAAGTAAGCCTTTTAATTTGCTTCTTACTCCTGTTCACAAATCTAATTAATTCACACCACCGATTTTAAGCTATCTTCAACTTGGCATTTTTAGAGCAAACAAGTAGGTTGGTTTTAGATTTCTCAAAAATCATGTGAAAAATAAGTACGAGGTATCAAATTAAAGAAAGAATATTTTGCACCAAACAAATCAATGAATAGAGAATGGACCACAGCATTTCACTGGTATCTTTAATACGAGCCTCTAAAATGAAGCTAAAAAGTCTGTATTGGAAAAATTCCCCAAATACATAAACTAAACTATTAGTTTTGGGTGGAAGCTAAACATCACTCGGAATAGTACTGTTGACTAAATACTAATAATATCAACCTATAATGACTCAGCATTACAATTCATTCCTAACTTGGATGTAACTTCACGGGTGCTTGCTTTTCACCTACCACAATTGTCTAAAAAACAAAACCGATATTATTAGTAGTCGACTGTTTGCGGACAATTGAATCCTATTTTTAATTTGTCTACTTTTACTGTAGCTTATTCGTAAGAAAGCATTGGCTGCTCAGATCAATGCTGAAGTAGACAAACATTGTGGGGATGGATATAACGACACTGGCCACGAAGACGTGGAAGCGGAGGATGAATTGGGTTATTCGGAAGAGGAGTACACAAGTTCAGATGATGAAGTAGCTCCTAAATTAAAACCAGTCTTCGTACGTGCACGTGATCGAATAACGTTACAAGCTAAACATAAGGCAGACCAACTTGCTCAGGAGACCGAAGCAGAAGTAAAACGACTTGCAGAAGAACGTCGTAGAACAACACTTAAGGTTGGTTTAACTTCTAAACCCTCCCAGATACATTCGTTTGAAGATTTTGAGTATATTAAAATACATTTTAATGTCAGTTTCAAAAATTTTACTCACTAGATTTTAGCATATATAGCGGTGAATACCCGTTTGGGGTACATTGTTCTATATTTCTAAATGTAGTTTATATCCTAAAATCGTAATATCATTCGATTAATACTTTTTTCATTTTATGTTAAATATGCCTTAAACTTTATTTACATAGTATCTTTGACTCATAAAGAATTTTATGTTTTTATTACTGAGGTATTTATGGACACTTAAAATAACTGTACGTAACACAAGGAGAACTGAGTTGTGAATCTAAGTATAAACTTTTCTACTTTTGACCCCTTATAGGAAGTATCAAAGTACTCCATTTTCGCTATGTATCTTACAGTATTTATTTGTAAGGAAGGTTTTGACGGGTCTCAAATTCTTTCAAAATTTCTCGCTTCACAAATAATTAAGTGTGCGATGGAATGAATATATTTATGACTGCATGTGACTACCAAAATATTTTAATGGTTTACTCGGTTTAAACTAATTATGGTCTATGGCGAAGGCGAGATATCCGTCTATCAATAAAAGGACAAGTATACTGCGCGGCAGTTCATTCTGTCCTGCTTTAAGGCTGCGAAATGAGACCATTAAGAGTAAAAGATACTCGTAAGCTACTAGTATTTGACCACAGATGCCTTAGAAATATTGCTGGCGTCTGCTGGGATCACCGGGTAAGTAATAGTGAGGTTAGACGCAGGGTATTGGGGAATGATGGTAAATCAGTTGATGAGGTTGTGAATCTTCATCGACTGAGATGGTTGGGCCACGTGTTACGTATGCCCGAACACCGATTACCACGACACGCAATGCTGACTAGTGTTGGGGATGGTTGGAAGAAAGTTAGGGGCGGCCAAACCAAAATGTGGCATCAGTGCTTGAAGTCCCTGACTTCTAGTCTGAGCCATGTTGGTGGATACAGACTACTTGGTTATGATCCGCGTGACTATCGTAACCAATGGTTGTAGACTCCTGGTGACATGGCTCAGAATCGATCACGATAACGTAGGCCTATACACTCTTTGTCTTCCCTTAAACTGAAATTAAAATTGCTCTATGTCCTTCTTTCTGCCTGTATCATATCCTTTTATGCTATCTTTGTTGATATATATATATATATATATATATATATATATATATATATATTACTACCATTGAAGTAACTACTTCTATGAATTCCGTGTTCATCTTGTTATGGTAATGAGGTGTGACAACTTGGACCGATGCATATATGTGCCTGGTCTTACGCTGTAGCTGACTGAATTATAGTCTATATTTCGTTCATTAAAATCGTTCTTTTTGAAAATAGTGAGCAACGAAGAAATAAATTTTGCTAATAAGATATAGAAAATTATTGTCCCGTAGTATCTTGTCAAATAAATTCGATGTACACCTGTTTGGTAACTTTAAAATTAATTTAAGAAGTACGGTCGTTTATGGTATCCATCACTAGAGGAAATTGTATCGTTTGTAGGCGTGGCGAAGCTTAGTTTATGAACAAGGGATTAAGGAAAACAGTTTATGAATTTTACTTTACATTATTCTAATTTCTCACGGTTTAAACAAAAATATTAATCTTTTGTTGTTTTTATTATTGATATTGACCATTTAGCTACTAGAAACAGAACTACGCCGTGAAGCTGAAGAAGCTCACGCAATTGAAGACGCTCTTGACGCAATAGATTCTGATGAAGGTCAAGGCAATCCCCAAGCAGAACAAGAAGAATATGAAAAATGGAAGGTTAGGGAACTAAAACGTATTCGACGAGAACGTGAGATTCGGGAGGCAGCACTACAAGAAAAGGCTGAAGTAAGTATTTCACTTCCTAACCGTCATCGTATACAATTAAAATGTTGGTTAGATTGGGTCTCAGTGATGCAGGTGTTTTCATTACCTATCTTCCCTTTGATGTTGAATGTCAGTATTATTTCATACATCCCCTTTCTAACCATATCCTTCATGTTTACTACTTTTTTGCTATCATCGATTCTAACACTTTTGAATCATTTGCTATCCAGCTCTGCTCTGTGATATGGCCGATATACATTTGTTTCTGGATGTACTATGCTTTGGACTGACTGGCTTTATCTTTTACATTTACTGATGTGTTTTTATAATTCGCACACTAAAACTCACTCTATATAGCTTTAGGCTTGGCTGCTGTTGGGGACGTTAGATCCCCAGAACTCACTTGGAAAAGGACCTAATTTTGTAATTTTATTTAGAAATTTTGAATTTCTTTGTTTTCGCGCCAAAAGCGCTCTTTTCACCTTCATATTGTATTTCCCACTTGGGAGAATCTTAAATGCCATTTGTCCGTTGTGTCTTTAGTATGCTATTTTGTAACTCTCCCCAAGAAGGTTTTGTGCTGTATATATAAGTTTCGATTTGTGTTTGTTGTTATCGCTCGTTTCTGGCTGTTTGCGGAATATACTTCCCCTATTCTAAGCTTGAAATTCTTCCTCTAGTTAGCGGGGCTCGTAACCGCTTCAAACATAGCAGCTGCTGACTTTATATAACTGAAATTCTCACATTTTATTCGTATACATCCTATTTTTGTGGATGATCAGGTGATTATGATCTGAGATTTTAACTCACCTCTTTAATCCTTTATCAGTTCCACATCTTTAAGATACATACAGTACAATTAGAAATTGTTTTTGTAAATTTGCGTGTACTTGCTTCATTAACATTTGGAACTGCTTATACTTTGATGCAAGTCACATATTATTGCTAGTCTCATTTGTTTGTGCGTATTTCTCTGGTTTGCAATTACCTTTAAACGAAAGATCTAGGCAGTTTTGTGAAAATTCTTTCATTCAAGTTTACATTTTACCGCTATTCGTTTTTCTCTGCTATACATAACGATCTGACTAACATGCATCTCAATTTTATGCCAGAGTTCTTTATTTGTGTATTTGGTTCGATTAGTATTAGAAGGCACTGATAAATTATTTTAAATCCTCTATCCATGATGTGAATCTTATTAATAGTGTCTCATATGGCTAACCACAACGGTATTCACTCAGTCAGTCAGTCAGTAACAACGTAGAACTTCGTACGTACGTACATCAGTTCGAGTTGCCACACCACATTAGCACAGAGATGCACTTGTCGATTCAAATCCCGTAGTGGTAGAGGTAATAAGAGTATAAACAGTAATCGGGAAGATTAGGGTTTGGAGACGTTATTTAAAGAGTATAATCCAGTGAAAGAAATTTGGAAAGAGGAAAAAAGGGACATGAAGAATTCAGAAGATTAGAATTTGGGAGAACACAGAGAGTGGATGCACCTGCGCCATTGCAAACGATTTTGAACCATGTCATTCAGGGTCTCTAACCATCGGTTGCTGTCATCTCGCGGTCCCAACGGTATTCACTATCTGACACGGTAAGTTTTTATGGACCTATATGTATGTAAGAGTCACTTAATCACACATGTTTTTTAAACCGTGCAGAAATTGACATTGGTGAGTATGAATTTTGTGAAATGTTTGTCACCAGTGTATTACGATGTAACCAAACAACAATGAACGGGATTCTATTTTATAGTTAAATATATCGATAAAAACATGCAACATTTTTATATTTGATGATTGTTTGTTTGTTCAGTGCTTAACTCAAGTAGCCATTTTTTCAAACAGTATGATATATGCTCATAATAAATTTTATCTTATGACACAAAAGTGTTTATAATTTGTCTTATTTTCTCCAATGTTTGGTTTACGAAAGTTGGTTCAAACGGTTCGTAAAATTAACTTCGATTATTATAGTGACGTAAACAATGTTTTCAAACTAAACAGAGCTTATTTCGTCATTTTAGATTGAGCGAATACGTAATATGACTGACGAACAACGACGTGAAGAGTTCATAAGAAATCCAAAAGTTATCACAAACAAAACAGCTAAAGGAAAATACAAGTTTTTGCAGAAGTATTTTCATCGGGGAGCTTTCTATGTTACTTCGTTGGAGGACAAAGTATTTCAACAAGACTTTACACAGCCTACTCTGGAAGATCATTTTGACAAAACAAAGTTGCCTACTGTTATGCAGGTCAGTGACGAAAGAATTGGTCTTCATGAATACTTATTTTTTGGAAGGCTATTACCTTGACTGTTTAGGACTGAATTCTACTACGAAATATTCAAAGCAGTATAGAATTATTATGAACAGTCTTGAGTAGATTAATCTTCAGACGAACATTTTATTCGAAAAGAAGAGGTATACTTTGATACGCACAACGTTTTATGGTTCGTTAGTTAAACGATATTAAAATGTGACATGGTGAGAAGAAAAAAGTTCAATGAGATTAATTAAAATGTAGGAGAAATGTCACATTAATAATCAAGATCGTCTGTAGCAGTTACGTATGTAGATCTATTTTGAGCTAATGTCCATACTTATTTTATTATATTTAGTTACCTAACGATAAACGACTACGTTTCTTAATGATGCCTAACTATCTCTTGATTCTTAACGTGGTTTTCTTAATCAAGAATGTTCATCTTGAATATCATTCATGGATATATTCCATTCTTGGTATACTACGTGTCTGTTTACTATATGTTGATGGCAAATTAATATCATACCAAGACGAAAAACGATTTAGTTCTCATAATAATTTGCTTGGGACCCTCGAAGTTTGATCATGCGGTTGATATATTTATTCCATAAAATCATGATTCGAATCTCTCTTTTATTTTGTTTCATCAAATCAAATGTATTTAAATTAATAACATTGATCAGGCTAGTGGATTGATTACTAGAATAACAACGGATTCAGAGTTAGTGATTTCAGTATTCATCAAACTTTGCTATAACTGTTATGATAACACCCAACTTGGGAATTTAGCTTTAGTCGAGATGCTAGTGCATAATGCTCTTTTGAACATGGTTTAACACTGTAAGGGGAATATCTTGTCTCTTTATACCATACCCACCTCTCAAAAATGGAGTTAGTTATGAACACCGTAGGACCTAGCACACAATCATATTAATGAAAGCAGCTTAAATATAAACAGTGGAAATATAACTAAAAAACAGTTGGGATGAAAAGGTAGAGTGTTAAGTTATACGAATATTCGTCAAGATTAGAACGAATAGTTTGACAGTAATTGAGCGCCGAGTATAGAGAAGTCATTATATGTGAAAATTATATTTGAAATATTCTCAGCGATTGAAATATAACTAATTCCAACGTTTCGTCCAGCTAACTTGTCTGGACTTCTTCAGGGTAATAATCAAAATCAAAATTATCAAAGTAGAGAGTTAAGGTTGATAAATTGGATGTGTCGGCCACAAAATTCCTGTCATATTGACAGTTCTATAGTAATACTTCAGCTCACTAAACGCCAATCCTTACAGGTAAATTAGAAGGCGTGAAACGAGCTTTTTGTACTTTCATTGAGTTCGATGATAAATCATACTATCTATCTTGTCGATATAGAAAATTAAATGCGTTTTAAATGTAATGTTATATTTAATACTTAGGTTAAGAACTTTGGTCGTGCTGGTCGGACTAAGTATACACATTTGGTTGATCAAGATACAACTGTATTCGACTCACCATGGTCAACAACCAATCCACAAAATATGAAGTTCCAGTCAACTCACGGTGGAGGATTTAAGCAAATATTCTCGAAACCTGGTTTATCTAAACAGAAGAAAAAGACAGGCTAGCACCTTAATTATGATAATGTGTATATATATTTAGCGAAACAGCAAGTCGAGTTTTCCTGTTTTCACTAATTTTCGATTTTTTTCTGTCCATGAGTATGTACACAGTTGATGCAAATAAATAATTCTGTTTATTTTAGAATTTATGTTCGGTAAATTCGTTGCTTGAATAATTTTTTCTGGTTAGCGTTTTTTTAGCGAGTTAGTTTTCTACGGGATTATGTACATGCTATTCCGTTTCAACAAAGTGTTATTACTTAATTTATTCACGTTATGACTATTACTTCGGATTTCTTTTTACATGCATTCTCATCAACCACGTAGTAACTTAATCAAAGTTCACAGGCTTACATGCATAAGACGTTTTGCACCAAAAACAGGTATAAAAAATAACGAATTAAACCTAGTTTTTTTAATATTCTTGGTAGTGTACTAGGGAGAATAACCGGAGTATACCCGTTTTGACATAAGCTTCATGCGCTTACATATTTTAGTAGTTGTATTTGTTTGTTAATACTAATCTATAATAAATGATTAACAGTCAACAAGTGAATCTCCTGGTAGAAAACCAATCTATGGGAAATCATACAACGAAAGCGTTGTCTCTACAAGCATGTCTATGACAAAGTCAAATAAAAATGGAGAAAGCGGAATACTCTGACAATCACCACTTGAAGTAACCGATTCCGATCACAGTTCACCATAAGCTCTGACCCGACCAGTAATGTTCGAGTAGAGAGTTTGTACGAGGTTAATATACTTGTTCGGTACTCCTTCTAATAGAACACTGCCGCAGGACCTCACGATCAACGGAATCGAATGTCGTTTTGAGGTCAGGGAATACAACTTTAGTAGGACGTCGAAAAGTATGGCTATGTTCCAGAATCTCCCAAGGTACCAGTATTCAGTCTATACATGCGCATCCAGCTTTGAAATCAGCCTGGTTTTCTCGACTTTGCTCATCAAGAGCTCTTGTTAGACGTTAAAGTATTATTTAGGCTAATATTTTAGACAATATATTAGCTAAACTGATTCCTCTGTGATTGTCACAAGAGAGGTTTTGTTCTTTCTTATAAACTGGGATGACAAGTGATCGAGACCAATCAGACAGAATTACGTTCAATCCCCATATTTTAGCTAATGTATCAGTTAATCTAACTGAGAAAACTGGGCCACTATCCTTAAAAATCCCAGGGGATAGTTCATCAGACCCTGCTGCTCTCCCTCGCTTTAGATTACTTATAGCCATTCCAACCTCACTAAGAGTTGGAGGACCCGCATCAATTCCCTATTTAGGTTACTAGGGGATAGTGGGCAAGTGAAGTGTGGCTGAAGGCCTGTTGAACTGTCTCCTAGGTTGCTCTGCTCGTTGGTTCAATTTCCTGGACTCAGAGTGAATAATAGTTCCATCTTTTTCAGAGATCTTTTAACTAACAGCCAAATTTTTAATGCCCGTTTCCTTGATAGGTCTGAACAGTTGTCCATTGTTATCTATCGCTGCTACTTTTCCCATCTCTACGTAGCCTTCTAATCAGCCTACTTTTAAACTTCTTCCGCCCCTCATCGTGCCCGGAGCCGGACGGGATGAGGTTCCGAGCATCTATCAATGCTGTAGCCACCTCTTAAATCCACTGATTTTCCTGAACCTTTTGGACTAAGCTACTAATAGATATCACTGCCGTCCCCACAGCTTTTTAGATATCATACCAAGCTACCTCAGGGTCACTATCACTTCCAAGGTTGACTAATTCCTTTAGTTGCCCCTGAAATATATTCTTAACTTCTTCATCATTAGGTTGGATTATAAGAGGTTTTCTTGCTGTAGCTTTTCTACTTCCAATAAGACTCAGACAAATACGTGCTCGAACTAGAGTATGATCCGAGTCTAAACATGTGGTCCAGGGTGTGTGATAGTCTTCAATCGAGCCCCTCCAGCGATGGGCAATGTGGCAATAGCAATGTGATCTATTCGAGTCGTTTTTGGGTTCACCACGTCGGACGATGCTATCGCCTTTTCTCGTATATCGTCGTCGACTTAAATCACGTTAGTCAATAACGGAATTAAATAAGTCGAATAGCGAGAATTGATTTGTGAATACATATATTTTGTATATGAAGCGAATGAAACATAGCAAAGCAAAATGACACACAGGGAAAATGGCTGGGAAGCCAACTCCATTTTAGTCAAGCGTTACTCAATATTTATAGTCAGACAAAATAAAGCTGCAGACATGTGATTAATAGGATAAGAAGGGCACACACATATACGCTCATATAAAAACAGTCTAGATTGATAAGCGAATAAATAACAAGGTTAAAGTATAGCTCAAGTAGAATGAATAGAATGGGATGTCCGAAAGCTAGAATAAGGTATATGGGCTTAATATAATAACCGACACTACACTATACCTATACTAGCGAGGTCGCAGGAAGTTTTATTGGGGTCTCTAGATACTGGAAGGGTAAATTGTGGCGGTTCGTCATATTGACAAGGTGAGGTCATATTACTGACTACTTAGATCCTGTATGCGCGTTTCGGAGACGCAGCATGCATCGATGGCGCGAGACTTTGGTCCGAGCGAACGAAGCCTGTTGCCCTATCTGACACAAGATTCGAACATTTAAAGCTCCAACATGGAGTTTAGAGCGTGGTTTTAGGAGACCAGGAATGACATTTCGTAAGCTCAAATTATTAGCATTGCTGGCGTGTGGTAATAGTTATATGAGAAGAGTTAGTCGAGGGGATAGAATTACTGAGAGGTGATCATCAACAAAATGATGTGAGGGTGGACCCGACGAAGAACCTAAATTAGTATTGTCATTAACGACCTGGAAGCGCTGCCACAGAGCCTAAGGCCGTGTGAGTACGAGATTTTTATGCAAATATTTCGATGTGTCAGTTCCGCATTTCAAAAGGCCTTACCACCGGAGACGGAAATTCATGGGGTAAGGTGAGGTTTTTAGGTCCGACCTTTTCTAACCCCTTCCTTCCGTTGTGAGAAACCAGCATCGCTACAAATACTGATTGTTCGAGTAAGACACCTTACTGCTGTCACACCTCTGTACAGTCAGCAGTATGACTTCGCCCTCGAGTCTCAAGCTGTTGCCTTTAGTCTTACCGTTCTCCAACTGACATAGTGTGACATATAGGAACATGTTTTCCAGACAATATAGCTCGGTTGAGTCATCACGATAAGCAAGCCCGACCACCAAGTTAAGGTAGCACCTACGGTTGGGAAATATATACTTAGAATTATTTTCTACTATGTTTTCAATAATAATAATAATGTTCTTTTAGGGGTGCAACGAGTAAATGCGCTGACCATTCAAACATAATGTAGACAGGCTTCAACTCCAAAACTTTCTGGCTATATTTGAAGCTATGTTTATTTAACATACCTATTTCTATAATCAAGTAGATTTAAAGTGATTGCAGTGAATAGCTACGCCTAAACTTTTTTCTTTGTCTTATAGAAAACATATCCATGTAACAAAATAGAGACAGTTCCGTCAATCGGTCTGTTTCGCTTATATACTCATCTCTCAAGATAGCAAATTCTCGGTTGAAAACTCGTGCTGTATTTGGTTTAATAATGTTTTCGGACGTTGTAATCTTCAATGTATAGTCTGAAGCGTTGCTTCAGTAGATCGGTATTAATAGTCCGTAGATCTAATTCCTTAATACTGTTTACGGAAGTTTTATTAAAAATTGTGGGTGATATTGTTACTAATACGGTATAATGACAGATAAAAGGAGAAAGTTCAGGAGCAAGAAGGTTTTTGTGACGTTGGCAGTGTGAGGAAAAGTGAGGCTTCTTGGTTTTTCATAGCGTAAATATTGATAGCTTAAAGTACTCGAGAAATTATTTGGCACAGTGTAATAATGGTACTCAAAGAACATTTATCTGATTTCGATAATGGTATTTTTAGATTGTGGTGGGCGAGGCAAATTGTTCATCATTTGCGGAACTTTACCACAAGTTAAATAAATCTTTAGCTCAAAAATAAAGTACACTATTTTTAGACACGATATTTTTCAATGTACGTTGGCATTTTAGTCGTTCGGTGGGAAGCGTATTCTATGGTTTTGGCATCCTTTACATGAAGTAATTGAAACGATAACACTTGATAAGACCGAGCTTCACAAAATGAATTTATTTATTTCACCTGAGAATTTGCTTGTAGAATTGACGCTTATTGGTATCATCACTGATATACAAATATAGTAGGTTTTGTCGCACAGTCAATGGTACATCGGGATTCTGTTGTAAATTTCGAACTGTTGTGTTGCAGTAAATTTGATTCGGAGTTAACACTAGATTGAAATATAGGTATTGAAGTAGTCTCACTAGTGACAGGTAGACACCGTAATTAAAGTTGCTTTGGATTAGAAAAAAATCGTCAAATCTTAGACATAAGCGATAAATCTAGATAATTACTAATTGAATTGTAATCTATGCAAATAAAAATAGTCATATGAAAATATTATACAATGTCCACCTACTTACCATTATGATTCAATAATATGCATTTTGAAGTGTTACAGCTTGAACTAATGCTCTTCGGTTGCACACTTTCTAATACCTCCCCATTCGAACATGCGAAAGGTTTTTATCAGGGGTTCATGAGACAATATTGTTCCATCTTAAAGCTAGATCTGTAGTGACCTAGAACACATATGGGAACAACTGATTGTACAGAATCTTTGTAAACTGAGAACAATAGACTGAATACTTCGTTTGCAAATTTCCATCATTTGTCTTTCACATTCTGTATGATTCTCCCAGTCCATAATTCCTTTTTATTTTCTTCAACTCGATCTTCTGCTGCCAGGTTTTCCAATTGATGGTACATACTACTTATGTCTGTCGATATAAGTAGCATAAACCACAGATCTAAATGTTACTTTGATATAACACAGCGTTTATCTTGAGCTTTGAACTTTCCATTAGGGTGTTGCGTAACGAAAATGCACTTACGATCTACTATACCTAGGACTCAAACTTCTGTTTTGACTCGGAAAACACAACACCAAAATCATTCACCTGAGCTACAAATCTCCACCATCTCAGTTGAATATAGCCTAGAACTACAACATCATCTGGTACTAGGGAATTGTTAACCGTATGGTTAGCTCAACAAGTTCATTTTACTGAGCGAGTATTTTTCAATAACTTCGATCGATGAAGGTTCGCAGCCTCGTCAACGAACACATCATCTCTATCTGGTGCTGCCCCGGATTATGAGTAAGCGATGCTTCGGAGATATCCATAACCGAATAGCTTCAACGAGCACTCGCTTCCTAACCTCATAAGCCATAACCTATTATTGTGGAGTACACAGTGAACTTTGTACTCAAGCCGAAATCTCGTCAGCTATCGACTTATCAAGAGTGATGGGACACAAAGGATAAGTGCGCGGTCGACACGTTCACTCCGTATGGGCAAACTAAGAACTTAGACAAGTCATTCCTTAAAAAAAGCACATCTTGCACAACGACGTTTACGATAATACTATATTCTGTCAGCACGTACACAAGTTTGTCTTTTCACCTGTTTTCCAAGTTGAGTCGTCAGTACCATTTCTGAGAGTCTATCAATTAGACAGACGCTACTCAAATTCACAGAATTTCCCAAATCTTATGGCTTTGGTTACTACGAGACATTTGCTTTCGAATTCGCTTGTAGACCATGCAACGCTACCCTTGGATGAGCGACAGCTTCATGTTCATTTTTTTTCTAATTAGTTGCTTCTTAAAAAACCCCGAAATTTTGATAGTCTAATCTTTCGGTTCATCAGGTTTGAAAAACCCTGACAAATCTCATCTAAATTGCTAAATCCCTATGATACTTAGAGTTAGTGCTAGCCAAGTTAACACTTCGATCTTGTTGAGGAACTATCAGCGAAATTTACTTATATACCAGTGAGATGGGATATGGGTGACTTTAAATGATTGTAATGGGCTCAGATCGATCTTTTATTGGAGATCAGAAGTAAATCTTATCCACAGATACTTAAGTGATATTTAGAAAAAATTAGTTCGGTTAAAAACAACTGTATATATTCCTCAGTAGTAATTTGAATTCATGAAACAGAAAAACAATCTTTACATACTAATATAGTTATTGTGTTACAGGGGGGATTTTCACTAAAAGTTGATCATCAGCCAAAATGATATCTCCACTGAAATCTGTAGATTTGGCTTGATCTAAGATAATTTGTAAACTAGGTTTGTTTTTCTTATCATTTTTAGATTTCTTTGAATGATTCACCTGTTCACCAATTTCATCTGTAAGAAAGTACAGTTCGTGTGATTTTTCAAAGTAACGATAAATGAATAATATTAACCAATCATATATTGATGTAATGAAAAAGCCAAAGCAATAACAATACGGTGCAATCAGTTTTCCTGACAATTTGGTTATATGTTTAAATTTATTTTGAACAGTACATTATGATATCTGTCAACTCAACTTGTAGAAGCTTAAATCCAAAGGGTTTACTAAGAAATAAACATTATTTATAACATCGGGCGTAATAGTATCGCATCGATATATATAATGTAGATCACAAAAAATTAACTTTTAGATTCATTGGATGAGTACTGAAGAGATAAAGCCTTGAGGTGAATAAGAGACTTCACCGATGGTCTATGGATTATGAGTCGTGATGAACAATTCTAATTACCTTGCAATTTCATTAACATTTAATTTTGCCATTTTTCTTAGGGCAATGTTTTCAGCTTAGATTTTAAAGAACCAAAAATTGCGTCTCCTTGAATATACACCAGTTTTCTTTGGTGTTATTAGTACCAAACTAGTGAGTGATAACGAAGCATAAAATACGACTTGTTGTTTACACAAACAAATATGCCTTAAAACGAAAGGATTATTATATTTGATGGTTTTCGTCCCAGACTGACACCTACAGGTGAATCATTGGAACACCGGACATTTGTTTTGGCACAGTATGGAAATCTTCATTAGTAATAACCAACAATCTGCAGTCCTCGCAGCAAACGTGTTACCTACAGATCCATACATCGGGATTTGAGAGGATATATTTTGAATCTAGTGATAACTTTTATCTAAGTTCTAAAATTATTATCTGTATGTATATATTAGTGCGATAAACTACTGTAACTTATAATTTATCTCATCAATAACTAAATTTACTAATTAATCTACATTCTAATGACATTCTTCAGAAGTTTAAAACCTGTTAACTTCAATACTGAATCTGTGGTTGCTTTTGATAAATAAATGAGCTGAGTAGTCTTATGATCAATTCTTAATTATAGCATTATTGAGATTCTGCTAAAGTGAGTTTCTATCAACATTTCAGTTTGTTTTTGACAAAAAATAATAGCAGTAATCATGAATACATTAATTTACAACATATTTTGTTGGGTAAAACTATATTTTTATAACAATATCAAGGTGAATTTACTTTTTATAGTGTTTTCATCTGGAGAATCTATTCGATCATATCTATGACTGAAATGTGTTAAAACTAACTGACGAACATTGAGTTGACAGGCTAATTTCATTACAACTCTTGGTACAGAATGACCTTTGCTCAATGCATCCTCATATAAACTGTCGTCTAAAGTAGCTTCATGTACAAGGGTATCCAAAGTTATAGAAGTAATTTGATTTGCAGTATGCAAAACCTGCATAAGACGTAAAAGTTCAGAAGAATCATACGTATCCCCCATAATTGCGATACGATGACCTCTTAAACGCGGTTTCAACACATCTTCAGGTCGAACTGTTTTACCATCAATGACAACTGTCTTACCCTTGTGAGAAGAAAAAAGCATTGAAATTGTTTTGTGATATCGATTAACAAATGATATCAGAATCAAAACTTATATCCTATCTTGAGAAAAACAACCGATTTTAGTGTTAATAATCTAAGTTAATTTTAAATTATGATGTTTTACATAAAAAAACCAAGAGACAAGTGAATATATGGAAAGACGTTAGAAACACTAACCATAAAACAACATAAGATAAAAACATTCACATATAAATGTTGTACTAAAAAAAACAATTTAGATAAATGATTATGACTATCGAATTGGTCAACTATTAAAATATCACTAACTAAAAATAAGATTATAAATATATACATGTGATATGCCTGGTTATTATAAAAGAAAATCTAATTCGGATATATAATTGTAATTCAAAATACATCAGCTAAAATTCACTAATCAACTATCTATGTCATTATAAACTATGAATAATAAAAATTAATTAATTTAAATAAAAGTAATTGAATTATGAGCAGTAATGTTAGCATAACTTATATTTTTATTGACAAACCTAGAAAATTTCTGTGAAATATTGACGTTATACAATAAATCAACTTTATTGAAATCGAAATACACCATTATTTAGATTGAAGTTTGCTATTATCAAACATCATAACAATATGATTGGATAAATAATCTATGCTATTATTATTATCATCATCCAGGATTAGGATTCCATGGATGAAACTATAGAAGTTAGTTTTAATGTTAATTGTAGTGTATAGTCAAAGAGTATGACAGTCTATGATTTCTCTTTCATTTTTTTTTAACTAGACAAAGACAAAAAGTATCTATAATAAGGAGGGGATGAACGCAAGTGAATTCCTGAAATATTATGATTACTCAATTATTTATCATTCAGTTTGATTATTTGACTGACGATATGCTGATATTTCTCAGTTAGATTGTTTCGTGTCAATCCTAGTGATTTATCTTGATAATCTAAAACTTTACATTTTTTATATTATTGTTCCTTATACCTGTTTGTCAATTAGGTGTTTTAAGATACTTAGATATATTCAATTCATGATCGTCTGAAAACAACAAAATAGAACTGATGAAAAATAGAAATTATCAGTGTCGGTTAATCATAAACAAAGTAAGAACTGACAGAAATGTTAGTTGGTTCAATTTGTTTTACATTACACTAACATGGTAAGAATAAATCAACAAAACGAAAGTCAAAAAGTGTAAATAAAAGTAGTCGATAAGCAATATCGCAGTAAAGTGTTCATTCACGGTAGTCTGTAACCACATGAAAATATTAATAAAATTAAAAACGGTGTCCTGGAACGATTACTTGAACTTGGCAACCTGATTTAAAATGGTAAAAAGATTATCTGTACGATGAAGGAAGTGATATATGATAAGATATAATCATTTAATCTATGCATACTTAACAAAGGTATTAACATAACTAACCATTGAGTGAGTCTGTTTCAATAATACACTAGATAAGCTGATGAATATGAAATACGATAAACAAGAATGTAATATTGCTCACTTAATTCAATTATATGTATCATACACAACTCACAACAAAGCCCCCAAATGCCCTAGTACGGCGGAGAGTCCTCTCTCCTCGCAATGCTCTCACACGTATACAGCCATTGCCAGGGAAGTCCTGCTCACTGCCTTCCCGCGGCAGGCTGGTTGTTTACGAAATTGAGAGGACGAAAAGCGAATGTCCGACGCTTCGACCGGGTTGGTGGATGAGGAGGATCCACCTAGGGGAGTTGGGAAACTCTGATTCCAGGCCAATGGTACACATGAGCTCCAGTAGCCTGAGGGAACAAATGGCGTAAGAACCAATCGTTGGTTACCGGCTACCATGGGACTGCATCTCCCGACGTTGATCCACTTCCTTGTGGATCAGACCTATAGGTCGAAGGCTCCGAGTGTGACCCCTGAGAAAATCACTTGCTAGTCTGGGCACCCGGGTAGTATCGCTGCTCATATGCACAAATCAAGTGACTTGTGTGGTGCATATGTATTCGGTGCCTCCTTGTACCAATATTTGTGTTCAAATAAGTAAATAATAAGTAGGTATCAGACGATTAAGAACATAAATTATGTCAGGGTTTACGGTGATAATCAGATACAAAGAAACACACTTAACTTGGTAACACATGAACATATGAATAAACCGCTGACAGTTAATTGTATATATTGAAGGCTCTATGTTTTTTTAGATAAGAGCATAGAAGCAAAAATGTTACCGAGTCAACTCATATACCCGTTACTAGTATCACTGATAACTTTGATATGATAAGTCCATTTAATTATTTATACGATATCACAACACCGAATTAATGAAAATAAAAACATATATAAAATACTCGTTTCAGTTCACCCATTAATCGTCCTTTGGGAACGCCTAATTTTATAGCTGTCTCAGCACACAAGGAAGGTGCATGATCCGGCTTTATTATCAGCCAACCTACGGAAGGAATCGTATGTTTTATAGACACTGCATGCACCATTTCACAGTTCTCTTCATTATTTGTAACATTATACCAGAATCCTGCAAAACAGATAACACATAGCATCATGTAACATAATTCAAAACTTAATTAGACAAACTCTCATAGAACCATAATAATATCAGTGAAGTTTTCGTGAATTTAATACAAAGTTATAGGGGATAGCTACATAAATAATTAGATTTGTAAGATATTGGTTGGAAAGGTATAAACTTTCTTGTTCCTGCCTTTGACTTTTTCCAACTGTATCCTGGACCAGTTTAACTCAGTCAGTGACTTTCCTATGGCAATTTATTTTTGATCTAAAACATATGATACATAGTTGCTTATATTGACTAACCAACTGAGACATACTATTAAGTGGAGAATTCATTATTTATTCACCAACGGACTTTAAGTAATGCACACCATCCATCATCGTAACAGAATTTCAATAAGTTAACTCGTAAAACTAGGAAAAAAAGAGAAATACAACTATAGGATCATGTTTCGGACTCACAACCATTATTCTTCGCTCCATGTCATATGGTGATTATCAGTAAAGTTTAGCATCAGAAAGATTTTTATGGAAAGCAATGAAATGGTTTCAAAGGTAAGATTCAGACGCTTATATGTCATCTCAACTCATTGCTGCTTATTAAAGAGCGCCAATAATCGTATGAAGTAACAGTGATGATGAATATATGTGATGTTATAAAGTCAATCTTATTGGAGTCAACCTAATAATGGCTAAGTTAGGAACCAAACCATTTAAAAAACCTAGGTATGAATCCCACTTTCAGTTATAAAGCAATTACAATGCAATGCATTTCAATTTAAACATAATGAAATAAGTGAATTTAGACAAATATTTATAACTGACGTTCACCAATAAATCTTACCATCACTGTTCGCAAAAATGTCTCTACCAGAACGTTCACAAAATAATGGGGGATCTCGAGTTATATCAGCCTCCAAACATGCCCAGTCTTGCCAATTTGGAGGACAATGTTTTTCTTCTAGTATCAACTCATGAACAGCATAAGTGTAGCTTAAATTAGCTCTAGAACAAATGAAAATATTAAATCTTATTGGTGTTTTATCTCAAATTATACAGTATTTAAGTAAAATCTTACACAATGTAAAACAGTTTAATAATATTGATATTAAATAACGAGACACACTCTGTCACTGAAGAAAGAATACAATTCAGCTGTACAATCGTATTTATAGTTAATTCTATTTGCTAAAATAGTAGTTTATAGTAAAACAAAATATCTAAAAAAGCCGGAGTGGCATCTTATCATGAAATGCTTACGAAAATCAGATATCGAAAGAAAGTTATGTGACAATTGGCTAGTGATAATTGGTAGTGTGAAGACAATTATCCACTACATAGCGGTTAAGAAGAGAATAATTAAAAATCATAATAATTGTTTATAGCTATGAAAATAATTGGGAAGGAGTAGAATAACAAAATAAAAACAAAAAACGATAGATTATGGAAAACAGAAGGCTATAGAAGGATGAGAGACTGAAACTACTGTTTTTGTACGCAAAGGTTAAATTTGAACTGGTGGATAGAGATAGCCTCTGCTGTACATAAGTTTTCCATTTGCATTGCTGTTGAGCCGACACTTCTGACTGTATGCATGGTTTTGAAGGAGGCTTTTGATGAAACAGAGTGACCAGATTGACTAGATTCTTTGAAAAATTGATATTCACATGTCATATTGCTTTTGTGAAATCCAAAATATATAACATACAATAAGAGATTACCGAAATCTATTTTTATCCAGGTCGTTAATTTTCCACAAATATGTCATAAGATATTCCGACTTTGATTGACGCAAAGGATTGCGAGCGATCACTTATGTCTGGTAAGTTGTCATAATCAAGGACAACTGAATTTTTTTATAGGCTACTTATCAAATAACAGCTTCACTGAATAGCAACGTTGAATAAATAGCAGGTATTGGATGTTGAGGATTTCGATTGGCATTATTCAGATAGTACCAGAATGCAGAAAATGTAGGAAAGTTTACAGAAAAGTAATGGTGCGGCTTTTTTCACATAGCCGTTTTAAAGTAACTTTAAAATAGGCAAAACAAAGCCAGAACTGCAGTGGGAATTTATGAAGAATTTTAATCTTTGGTTGACGCATTGATGTCCGGTCAACCGTTCACACTTGGTTTTAAATCATGAACTACTGATACCTTAGTCAAACTGAAGGATGAGCGGAATGCCGCATATTTAAAAAAAGTGAACAGAATCATTTCATAATATTGAAGTTATGTTATTTAGGATTCACACTTATTTCCAATGCCGAAGACTTATTATGGAGATTAAAGGCATATTGAGCTTTAAAATGAACAATAAACTTTCTAGCTTATCTACTGGATTATTGTTTTGCTTCCGAGCTAATCAATACGTCAAGCTCTTGAGACCCCGTTAGAAAACACTCATCATATGTCCGTTACAGAATTTTGTGCATCCTCAAACATTTATTAATTATCATGGTGACATTGATATAATGTAAGTGACCGCATCAGAGGTAACAGTAAATGGTTCCCTTACATACTACAGAGTAATGGAATACCAAATGAAAAGAAAAAAATATTACAGAGCAAGAAGCTTAAGCGTTGAAACTTGATGTTAATGAGCAGCATGACGCAGTATATTGAAAGTTTAAGATATCATTCATCAAGCCCAAACAGAACATACAACTCTGTTGTAAATTAGAAAATGTAGATGTATCCATAATATATACTGGCATTCATACTTTGTAAATTGATTAAAGCTACTCTATGATTTAATATTTTGCAATATACAATATTTAAGAGTAAATTACGACAATTCAATAACTAAATGTAACCTAATAAACCAGTAAAATTCCACAACTACTATAAGAAGGCTAATGATACTATCCTGTTATACAGATCCAAACAAGATGCGAATTTTCAACCCAATAGTTGAAAGTACATATGCTACTAGATGTTAATAACATATCCGCGTTCTTACGAAGATCCGAGTATACTGAGTAGATTTCTAGCTATGTATTACACAGCTAATATACGACTTGGAGACATCATAATCGCAGGTATTTTCACACAAATTTCTTTGGAACTTTACTCATATTGGGCTGAACAAAAGAAATAGTTTTGATTTTAGACGTTAAGCTCTGAAAAATGGTAGAAATCTAATAGGAAAATCTGCTGACTTGAGCTTCCAGAAAATGTATTCTACTTTACACATTTTGTAGTTTCTAGGAAGCTTTGGAGTAACTGTTTCAGAACATAGAACCAGATCGTGAAGGAAATTCCCTAGAAACAGGTAGATAGGACGAATTTAACCTTTCAACCCTTAGCTACAGCATATCAGAACCATTTATTCAAAAATTATAGACATGGCCAGAAAAATTTTGCAATAGAACACACTCATTCATTTTAAACCTTTCTTTATCTGTTGAAGATTTTATCGTGGCCAATATTGGGTTTATTTTTTCTTGTCTTTTCTCTAATTAGTTAGTACATTTTCTTGTTTTATTATTTATCTATGTCGATTACAATTATGCCAACTTAAATGGATGTACTAATGCATGACATTTCATGTAATTTAATGCTTCTACCAGTCAAACATTTATGTCAAAATAGCTTGATTGGGTGTCGAATAGATGACCGAATCACCAAACAGCGAACAAGCTGTAACACCCATAGCTTACCTTGATAATGCAAGAGCAAGTCGAAGGAATCTGCGAAGTCCCTTTGGCCCATAAATGTTTATGGAGGCTCCATCGTTTTGTCGGTCTACATCTTCTAATACGACACTATTAGCTTCACCTTTCTGATCTATTGTACATAAAAGTCCAGGAAGACCAAACATATGATCCCCATGAAGATGTGAAATAAAAATAGAATTGATTTTTCCAAAGTGAACGAAAGACGACTTTTGCGCTTGTATCTGTACACCTTCACCACAGTCAAATAACCATTGTGAACCAGAACATAAGTCACGTAATACTACACCAGAAGCTCCCCTATGGGGTGACGGATATCCAGATGCAGTGCCTAAGAAAATCAACTCCTGAAAAAGCGATTTCACACAATTTACTATAAAAAAATGTTGGCAGCTAAAATAAATCAAATACTTCTAAAATTAGTCGATATTAATTGAAGTTTTGATGAACGAGTATCAAGTTGGTTTTTCTGATTGTCGTGTAAAACATAGTCCTTTGGTTCTGTAATAACCTTACGTTTAATGCAAGGCCGGTGATTCCAAATCCTGAGAAGTCAGGAAGCTTCCAGATCTGTTGTGAATACAACGACCATACATTTAAATTTTATCAAGTTATGGTGAATATTATTTATTAACACCCGATCGTAAACGAAATTTCTCACTAATAAATTACACTCAGACCTACCAGTTGAGAGGTTTTATGGCAATGTCTGGAAAGTACATTACATCATAGACGCTTTTATTATTGACCGGACCACAGGTTACGTACAAATTCCATCTGAATTAGAAACGTCAAGTAGTTGTTATTGTTATTATCATCTTTTTCATTCTCTATAAGCATATTTCCAGGGATGACTTTGTATTCACCTGGTTTTCGCCTGAAGACTTTTGTCGACTTAGACGATATACCCCTATTTAACCAAAAAACTAGACGAAATGCAGTCTCTTGAACATCCTAACATATATTTGAGGAATGCTTTGAATGTGATCATCATATTGCAGTTACATTACTGTCCAGTTTGCGAAGTAGTGAAGTGTTTGAGAGCGGTAAACAACCCAACTTTCAGTTTCCACAACCCAGTCATATTGGTGACTGACGAAACCTCATGATGAACACAAACTTTCTATTTGACATTTTTGGAAATTGCGCAACACCTCGGATAAGGTGTATTTTTACCCCTTAAAAACTCCGCCTGTAGCTCTTCTAGAGCTACTGCCGGTCCCAAGCCCGGGTAATGGAGGAGGGTTAGACATGGGGTCGGCAACCCCATCACGTAAAAAAAATCTTGCTAAAAGCACCAACTAGTAGGTTACCCCTTAGAAGCAACAGTTCATGCTATTTCAGTCTATGACTATGAAACATAATTTTCGAAAGGACGAAATACTGATATATTGTAAACATCTTTTTAAACATGCTCACATATTTTTCAAGTGTAATGCAGCCACAGGATAAGTGGTAAAAAAAATCACAATAATACTTCTGTAATCATCTCTTTGTTATCCCTTTTATTAAGAAATACCAGGATATAAATGACTGTTTTAACAACAAGTGCCACAAAACAGCAATAACTACTCCAATAAAATCTCAAAGATTTTATAAATTCCGAATTTTCTGTGGGAAACAAAGTTGCGATTCATACAATGCATCATAAAGTTGACAAGAAGTGAAGACTTAACAAATATTAAGCTTCTATATAAACCTAGGAACGAAAGGATATTATCGTTTTTATTCAGTAATAAACAGGAAATTCAAAATGACCATATCGTGCGAATAACACTACTAGGAACGTCGACAACCAATTATATGAATATGGTTTAGTAGGGAATACAAGAAGTGTGGCCTAATAATCAAAACGTAATATCAAAAGAAGCACCGAATCTCCAGGCGATTACCTTGAGCGACGGATGGAGACGTTAAATGACGTGGTGCAAAACCCGTCACAATTACGTAAATGAACTCTGTTTGTCTTTCTGTAGATACATAATTTCAAAATCCTTCTCCCCATTAACTTCTCCAATCATATGTTCTATACATAATCTTTCTACTATTATTGAAACCAATACTTTATCATTCATCTAAGTGATTTAGTTACACTGTAGTTATGTTAGGTGCCAACTTGGACCGAAGCACATACATGCCACGTTCTACATTGCTCATGACCGATAGTATTAAACATTGGTTCTCCTTAGTCGCAGACTGAGCCGAAGTTGAGTTGATAACGTCGTAGATTACCCAAGAAGTGTACACAATACGTATGAAGCAACAGAAAGCCGATAATACATACGAATCTGTAATAACCCAGTGGGTGAAAGATTGGGTTTCTTGCGTTTCATGACTAAATGTAGGCCGCTTTTCAAATAGGTGATTTTTTAGTTGCTCGTACATTTTGTCGAAATTCGTGGGACGTTTTCGAGATAATTGGATATTAATAATGTTGATGTGGGGGTTGGATATATAATGCACGTCAAGCACAGCGACTTGGTCAATAACCAATTTACCCCATGAGCAATCGAAGTTTATAAAGTCAAGTGGTAATATCCATGAACAAGAATGTGGTTCGAATTATTAGACTAGTGAAGCTAGGGTAGGTGTATAGGATAACACCTTGATTTTAGTATAAACCGGCCCTAGTTTTTAATCCACTCCAAGGATTTTAAGAACCTTTTAAATGCTTTTATCGCACCATCGTACTAACATTCAAAGAATGTTGTTGGAACAACCGAAATTGTAGTTCGAAAATTGAAAAAAAAAAATAAAACATGGGCTTTCGTGCTCCTTGAGATACATGACACTGACAAATCAACACTGGTCCCAGAAATAAAACCTATGAGCCAAGAAAATGAGGTAATCCTTTTACTAGCTCACTAATCGATATACAACAAGCAGGAAAAATACCCTAACTGGCCGATTAATGACAAGATGCGGAATTACTCAAGTCCGTTAAGCAAAAGTTTGAGAACAACTGGAACATGTTTCCTATTCGCCAAATGAAAGATGATACTCTAATACTAGAGTAATCGAGACATATATTAGGAAATGACTATCTACTTGACCCTGTTGAGGAGGTAGGTACGGTTAGACTTTATAAATTGGCCGTCTGAGAAGTCTCCAATTAAATAAAAGGATCGTACTGAGGATTTATCGAATAACGTTACAAATAAAATCCCCAATGGTTTATCAAACAATATGTATGATGGACAGTAGCCCATGATAGTCTACGTTAGATACCATTTTGAAAATGGAGAATGTGTAGCTACAGGTTTTCAGTTAGTGTATGTCCAATATTGTTCATGTATCTTGAGAATAACGGGTGTAGTTATGTACATACTCTGTGTGGAGCAGAGGTTAAAGATAGTATGTGAAATGGCTAAAAATCTACCACAACGCCGAAAGTGGTTCTTCTCACCTTTACGTAGCTTTTGGACATTTGTTCACTGAAAATGGTCTATCTTTCTTGACAACTGTCCTCTTATTTTATTTACTGTTCCTGTGTGAAAAATGTGAGATAGCGCACAAAGTTAAGGCTCATTAAACAACTGTTTGCCTGTAAAAGTTGAAAGTCAAATATACAGGATCATTTTCCCCTATATCTGGATAGTGTAACAAGATTAACTGATATAAGTCCTCAGAAAGAACCTTTTGTATTGAAATATTAAACTAATTATACGTATGAAATAGTATGTGTAGGTAAGCATTTAAATTTCTTCCTTTCCATCGAACTACTAAGATGGTCTACTAGAACTAGCAATACTAATATGACTTAACTACCTTTAAGTAGTCTTTGAATCTTAGCTTTTACAATGAGTTAGTACACATAAATTTAGAATGTACTACTGTAAAGGGATATATTTAGAATAAACCTTAGATATCAATGAAACTTCGACCTTTTTTAACTCAACACGACTGGTAAACGAATAAGTCATTTATACGACGAATTCACCAGGCTAGCAAAAAATTTCCGGGTAATTCCCTAATATTTCCACAATGTTAAAATATCTTAATTTTACGAATATTAATTTTATAAAAATGTTTATCTGACGTTCCAAGCAAACTCGAAGTATAAAATGAAAATTTAAAGTATGCTTTATTTTAAAGATAGATACAATTTAATCAATACAACTAATCTAGCTTTCAGTACTATCGAATTTTTGCTTATTTATCGTCTCATCTTGTTTTAGCTCCTTTTCAGCCAATGACAGAATTTCTTCCGAATTTAAGTCTGGGTGAAGCTCTCTCAAATTCCTACACTTTTTTAAGAGCCTGACGCAGTGTCAAGTAAAATAAACACTTACTTAGACAGTGTCGAACGATTGTCCACTAGTTTGAACATGTTTAATGTTTCGAGCCTGTGATGACCTTTGAAAAAAGCTCTGGTGAAAGTTCACAAAAAGCTACTGGGCTTACGCTCTTTCACAATCTTCTGGATAGATAATATTCTGCACTGTGGTAGTAGGACATGGTCGATCATACGAAGGATCAATACGTGGAGGGAATGCTTTGTATACATCGTACCACAATGGGCGGTCTTCATAATCTAGAGCCCCTTTTTCAATCAGTCCTTTGACTCTATTGATACATAGTTGTGGAAAACATGCTCGAACCTTTTAAAAATAGAGGCGAACCTTTCCTTTCTGCTTCCAAGCATTTTTAAACATACCTCGACTTCTTCCCAAGGTTGACTTTGAATTCTTATTGTGACGAACAAAAACTACCGGTTTAATTTAGAGAATATAAGATTTTAGTTGTTATAAGCAGCCGGAATGAGATATGATTAGCATTATTTGGATAAGGTTCTGTAGTTGTACTCGTTTTTATAAGAACATTGAAAATATTGTGAAAAACATCTTAACATGTGCAATGGACGCTTATTTGAAGGTATAACGGACCTTAAAAAACGGCATGCAAACCAGGATTGGTGAGCACTCGAGGAAAAAGAACACGACGTGAGAACAGCAGCGTGTATATTTCAGACAGTAAAATAGGCAGTTATGTTATGCAAAGGAAAGCCTAATTATAAATTGGTCTCTTGCATCATTTTTCTTGCACAGTTTAAGCAGAGCTTGTTATTCTTCCGGCAAATTCAGCAAACGTTACTCTACAGCACAAAAACGTGGATTCACGATGATGACATCACGCAATTATTTTA